CCTTTGCAGGAAACCTCCAGAAAGAGTAGTGTATTGCTATGGTCTCTACCTCTCAATCCCAACCAGCTCATTTCTCAGTTTACTCCCATCAAGCTATTGTCCATAGCTCTCCACTGAAACTTCTTGGGTCAAGGTCAATGATAATCTCCTTGTTGACCAACCCCAGAGCCAATTTTTCTCCTTATTTGGTTCCTCCTTGACTTCTACCAGCACGTACATGGCCCAGGGCTCATTCTTAAGACTCTACTCTTTGTCAGTGCCCTTATCTCAGAGGTATATTTCATCCAATCTCATGGAGTTAAGTACAACTTACCTACTGTTGATGCGCAAATTTATACCTTCAACCTTAACCCTATGAGGTAGGGACTATTATCATGCTCCTTTCACATGAATGCAGACAGGCTCTCAGACATTAAGGGGCTTCTTCAATGTTATACAACTAGAAGCTGCAGAGCCAGGATTCAAACCTGGGTCTGTATGACTCCAGACCTGTGCTGTGAGTGACCAGGCTGCCCTGCTGCCTTCTCCCTCCATCCCAGCTCCCTGTCCTGCTTGCTTCCCAGGCTCTCCTGCATGTGCTGCTTAGTCTGGCCTTGTACTTTGTACCCCTTGTCCACTTCTGGAATGATCACCCCTGCCTCTCCCCACTCCACCTCTCCAATCCTCTTCCCTCCCAGCTCTGGTGGGGGATTTCTTTACTCCTGAGGCCAAGATTGATCTCTCTTGGCCTCCTCTGAACTCCCATAGGACCCAGATCCCCCCACCCCCCACCCCTAAGGCCACTGAGGGCTCATTTGTATCTAAATGTTTCATGCTTTCTGAACCCAAGATGGGGGTCCTTGGCCCAAGTAAAGGGCACACTTGAGGACACTGAAGCACAATATCTGAGATGGAGACTGCCTGGGAAAGTATGGGCCACAGGACTCCATTATTATATACTATCTCGAGGGGTCTGAGTTACCCAGATTACTTTTATTTTGTTTATTCCACTAAGCTGGTGAGCTCTTGAGAGATCATGAATTCATAAGTATCATTGAAAACAAGTGTGTTTATGTGTGTGGTTAGGGGAGTATGTAGTTTGATCCACAGTTGGGAATCTGCACACGCAAAGGGCCTGACTTCAGTTACATGTGGGTTTTCGACTGTGCTGGTGGTCAGCGCCCTTAACCCCGGTGTTGTTCAAGGGTCAATTGTACTTCAAAACCCTATTCTCCTGGGTCCTGGGAAGCCAAGGAAAGTTCAATTCAGAAGTGAAGGAACTGATTTAGACTTCACCAAGGTCACAGAGAGGCCAAACAGTTCTCATAGGGGCCACTGAGTTCAAAGAAATATTTTGAAGAAATGGGCTTGACACTGTGATCTTGATTATTTTTGAGGAACTGAAAGTGCCCTGAAGGAAGAGACAAGGAAGAGGCTGGAGATCTGTGAGGTGGTGCTTGGGGGAGGGGTGGGGAGGAAGGAGAGAACTGTGTGTGTGTGTGTGTGTGTGTGTGTGTGTGTGTGTGTGTGTGTGTGTGTGGAGGTCTTTATAGTGGTTGAGAAATTGAGAACTGATGTCATGGGCAGAGGGCATGTGTTGGGGCTGGAACATTGGCCCCTTTCAATGACAGTGAGTTTGACCTCTGTCCCCATGATGCTGGCCTGGGTTCTGTGCCCAGCCCTGTCACCCTCACTGTGCAACTGTAGGCAAGCCTGCTTGGCCTCCCTGGGCCTCTGTCTCATTTCTAAACTGAGGAGATTGTGGAGATTGAAAAACCTGGCTCTTCCTGATTCCTTCAGGTTTTGCCTCAGGTAATCCAGTGAAGACAGACTTAAGTGCTCCGGATTTTATATTTTACCTTTCAAAATGCAGATGGCTTAGGAGCAGGTATGTGCCTACTCCTTTTTAGCATTAAGAGTCAATCTGGGAAAACACATCTAGTCCCATCCTCCTGGGGCCACCCCTGCCTCCAGAATGGAAGAGCCAAGTTAATCATTCTTATACAGGCCTCCTGATAAAAGTCCTTTTTCACAGAAAGCAGAGGATGGCCAAGGGCTGAGGAGAGCAGGATGTGAATGGTTGACTCTTGCATGTTGGGAAGAAAATGGGCCTCATTCCTTCATGTCTCGCTTAGACATGACATTCCAGTCAGAGTCTTGGTTAATAAAACCATAATTGGAAACTGGTCTTATTGAATTCATGTAAAGAAATGTATTGCTATGAGACACTCATTAAGTATTGCCAAATTCTGGAGGGATCAGGTAGGGAGAAATATATATAATTCACCAAATTGCTTAAAGAAAATAAATCTCCTTGTATCTGGAAAACAAGAGGAAAAGTCCTTGTCCTTTTAACAAAGTGAGGAAGCGAATGGTAATGCCCCTGGGACCGGGATGCAGGGAAGGAGAGCACACTGGATCCTCAGTCCCAAAGGTTTTAAGGGCAGAGATTTTAGGGGAGGTCCTAGGGAAAGATCTTAACAGAATGTTCAGTAGCTTTCCAGGGGTATCCTTTCGGGGTTGTGGTCTCCATTGATTGATTGGCCAGCCCCAGGGCAGGGGGTCATTCAATGCAACTGGATCTGACATCAGCTGTGGCTGGTTTTGTTGCTTATCTGGGCCTGGAGCTGAAATACAACTGAGGCCTAGATGTTATCTCTAGGGAGGAAAGGTCAGGGGTCCAAACCTCATGACCAGTGATATGTTAGGGAAGGAAAATCACCCTGGGGGCAAGGTCCCATTCTATAATTGATTGTCCATTGTTAGGCACCAGGGGCTTTCCATCTGGTGACTTTCTGTATCTGGTCTATCATCCTTGCTAGGCTTGTGTCTAACTGCCCACAGCAAAATCAGAACCATTTTAGTCCATCTTCACTGATTACCTGAGATAAAAAATGAAGGAAGTGGGGAGAGCTTGTCTTGGGCTTGAATGCTTCTAGAGGCCAGGTTCCTGTAATCCAGTGGGGACAATGGCCTTGTTGCATTCCCCCCACCCCTTCTTGCTGGACTTGTAAGTAAAGAACTTGGAGCTGCCTCCACCCCCAGGGGCTGGAGGTCACAATCACAGTCTTCAGGTGGTTAAGGAAACACCTTGCCCAAGGATGCTTTGTAGACCCACAGCCCACTATAGTTTCTGGGTTCCAGGATGGTGCCCATGCATGTCTGAGTCTTGAACTTGTCAATGCTCAAAGGCAATTCTGCTATTGAAGGCCTGGCTGAGATGTGTCACTCACAGAACAGCTTCAGAAAACAAACAAACAAACAAAAACCAACAGTGAGGTTTTCAGAAAGTCTGAGATGGCAGGCAAAGGTGATAGGAGCTGGGCAGAGCCCAAAAAAGCCAATCTGAAGGTCCAGGCACCACCAAAAGAAGGGAAGAGATGATGAGAGTAAACAGAAGAACCAGAAGAAGGACTAAAGGTTAAAGTAATAAACACAGGAATATTCTATTTGGCAATGAAAAGAGAGTCAGACAGACCCAGGTTCGAATTCTAGCTCTACAGTTTCTAGTTGTGTAACACTGGGGAAACCCCTTAATATCTGAGAGCCTGTCTGCTTTCATGTGAAGGAAACATGATAATAGTCCTTACCTCATAGGGTTAAGGCTAAAGGTATAAATTTGTGCATCAACAGTAGGCAAGTTGTACCTAAGTCCATGAGATTGGTTGAAATAATACCTCTGAGCCAGGCCAAGGTGGGTCAGTGGTTGAATGTTGGCTTATGAATCAGGAGGTCACTGTTTGATTCCCAGTCAGGGCTTATGCCTGGGTTGCTGGCTTGATACCTGATCATGATCAATGATTCTCTCTCGTCATTGATGTTTTTCTCTCCCTCTCCCTTCTTCTCTGAAAATATATATATCTATATCTGAGATAAGAGCTTAGGCAAAGAGTAGAGTCTTAAGAATGAGCTCTGGACCATGTATGTGCTGGTACAAGTCATGCGGGAGCCAGATAAGGAGAAAAAATGGCTCTGGGTTTGGGCCACAGGGAGATGACCATCAACTTTGACCACAGAAGTTTCAGTGGAGAGCTAAGGACAGTAGCTTGATGGGAGTGGATTGAGAAATGAGCTGGCAGGGGTTAGAGACCACAGCCATACACAACTCTTTCAGGAGGTTTCCTGTGAAGGGAAGCAGGGAAATGGAGGGGAGCTGAAGAAAGGAATAAGGGAAGTGCTGTTTCTTATCGGTGTGAGAGGAGAGAAATATGGCTAAGATTGGGCTTACATTTCATTTCTCCCATTGATAGGATGTGACTTGTGGAAGCCACTTAATGCGACTGTTTCATCTGTGAAGTGGGTGCTCACAGGATTCCCCAGTTTGAGGATCAAGAGAGCTAATAAGGTAAGTGGGAGACCACACTGTGTGGACTGATCTGCTAGGCAAACACAGTGCATGATTGTGAGCAGAGGCGGCTGCTGGGTCTCCCCCCAGTTCCCCAATCACACCGTGGCGATAGCTCTGTTCCTCAGCAGGTCATGATTTGGAAAAGTAAAATGTGAATTAGGGAACCCATCATGCGCATCTCCAATTTGGAGCTTTCACTGTGCTCTGTCTCTGGCTGAGTTTTTGTTGTTTTATTTTTGTTTTTTTCTTTCTTTGCCCTTCCCAGTCACATTCTACCTGGGAAGTCCCCACTTGAGCCCCCGCCACCTTCAGACTGAAGTCCTTTCTGACTGCGAGAGCCCAGAGTGTCCACACACGCAGGCCGGCCGGGCTCTCCAAGTGCTTCATGTCGTTTCCTGAAAGCAGGGACCTGCCTTTTCCCCTCGGGTCCCCCATTGGCTACAAAAAGGGCCAGTGGCAGATAGAAACATGGACAGGGTAACATGGCCTTCAGTCTCAGCAGTTGCCAAGTATTAATAGTAGTCTCCCTCCCTTCACCCATCCTCCTGTCGGCTGGCCTCGTTTGTCTCCCGAAGGTCAGTGCCAATGTCCATTTTTGGGAAACTATCTAGTAAATCCTTTGCTCTCTGTCGGGGTGACCCATCACAAATCCACAGGAAACGCGAGCCACCAGCCGGGGTAGGATCAGAATACTTTAATAAGATATCAGTGTCAAAATACATTTCCTTATAAAGTTAAGCTCCCATACAGTAATAATGTCAGTAGGAATTCGACAAAATAATAATGTACATGAAATCGTTACATTGACAGGTAAAGTTAATATTGAAGCTCGGAATATTTCTCAGAGTGTTTTAGTAAAACTGCAAGGCTGAGCCACCCTCACGGCCGAGGCAGCGCACACAGGAATCCAACCCCAGTTTACCTGGCCGTGGCCCTCCGGGCTCTGTCGCCACGCGGGGCAAAGCTGCGGTGCTTACATACATTTGGGCAACACACTGAGTAGATACTCCTTCTCATACAACTTAGATTTGTGTTTTGACAATTAGTCCATCCATGCTGGCCTGTTCTGTTTTGGGTGTGTGTTTCTAGAAACATCTTCATTGTGCCCAGGACAGGTGAGTTCTATGTGATTGGTGTTTAGAAACCAAAGGTGTAGTCCCTCTTACGCAGTGAGTTAAAGTGCTCTGAGAACACTATTTCCAGTGCTTCCTACCTATACAAGTCACTTCGAGTGACAAACAGACCCAGGAGGGCCTGGGGCTGGGCTGTCCCCAGGTCTGCCTGCTGCTCGTCAGTGGGGGCCCCCGCACCTCGGCCTTGCAGGGGGATCTGAGGAAGGGCACTGGGCCAGGCTGGCCAGCACCGGCTGCCCTTCTCTCAGCCCAGCTCCATGTGCTCCGAGGTGGTCAGCTGGGAAGACATGGCCTGGGTCACTACCCCGTTTCTGAATCCTTCCTTTCGTGAATTCCCCTCTAAACCATCTCAGGGTAGGTTTAGAAATATCCCAGTGCTCCACATGAAAGCCCATTAGAGTCACATAGCTCAGTGCACTTGAAGGGCCAGCAACAAGACCTTAAGAAAAGTTAAAGCACTTCCTCTCCCTTGGATTTGCCCAGCCCACACCCTTAACCCATGATGCGCCATCAGACCCTCTTGGCAGCAATAATAATATATACATACATACATAATACACAGAGGACATGAGGAAAAGACAGCTCGCAATGCTCCCACTTAACGATTCCACTCCTTGGATGGATTGTCACGCTATGGCAGACCCCAAAAGCAAAAGCCCACAGAGCAACCTTGAGCAGTGTTAGCACGGCCCGGGGGTGCTGTACAATGCTGCGGTGTCGGCAGGAACGGGCTTAAAAAGATCTAAAGTGATTTTGTGAGCAGGATTCCACTTCCGTTTCTAAGTTTTTAGATATTACAAAGTACCCATATATATGATAAACACTTAACCCAGATATAAATTTTAAAAAACCCCTCAGTTATGGTTTTGAATAATAATTAAAAAAAAATCCACTGAATGTGGGGGTTGGGGAGAGAAGAAAACACCAAAGAGTTTAGGAAAAGCCTCCCTGTGCAACTCTCACAGATAAGCACATACACTGGACTTCACCCTTCACATTTCTTATTTTTCACCAAAAGTCATCAAAATTAGAGCAAAGAGTTGGCTTTTGAAAAAGGCTGAAATTACCAATATAGTGATTAGTTTTAAAGGAGAAGGGCCATGCGAGGGAGCAAGGCCACAAATCAAGCTTGGAAAGCAAAAATCATTTTCTCTTTGGCAACAACAAAATCTTTTTAGTTCAATGAAGCCAAAGCTTTCCCTACAAACAGACACCCAACTTGTTAGTGTGAATATTGTGTGTGCAGGAGAGAGAGAGAAAGAGAGAGGCCTCTGGATAATATAAATTAGAAGCAATTGAAGTTGGGGGGGGGAAAATCTTACAAAATTTAAGAACATTTTCATTGACAGAGTAAAACACAGCAGGTAAAACATACTTTAAAAATATGGATACTAAAGTGAGTATCTTCAGGAAAAGGCCATTACGTGGTAACCTGGGCAAGTCTGCCAGGTAAGTACACCTTGTAAAAAGTGTGTTGGTGTTAGAGATACCTAGTTGCAAAAATAGATGCAGAGAGTGAAGCTGGCGGATGGCCTGGCAGAGACACCTGCCCTGGCGGAAGGCCCTGCTTCAGGTGCCCTGGTCCAGGGCTCTGAGCAGGTCCCCTCCTTGCAGGAGCGTGGAGCTTCCTGGCACAGGAACGTTCACCTCACAGTCATATCTGGTCAATTCGGGCAGCAGGTAGGGCTCAAACGAGGGCCCGAGCAGCCGGCTTGCCATACCTGAAAGAATGGTTGGTACCGTATTTTAAAAACCAAACCGGACATCCGGAAAAGGCTCTATTCCATAAGAGGCTGGCAGGAATGAGAAGGGCACTGGGGAGAGCAAGACGCATTTTCCAGTTTTTGTGACTCGGGGTTACGGATAGGGCAGCCCTGACTTTACTCTGTTTCTTCAATGTAATCTTATCCGGGCGGACCCCTATCACTAGGTGGGGTGCTGAGCCGCACGGGAGAGAGAAAGTGTGCGGTGCAGACAGCAGCTAGAGGGTGTTGTGTGGAGGGAGCCCACAAAGGCTTCTTGGCCTTGAAGGAGGAGACATCAGGAAGAGCCTGACCTGTGTCACCGCGCATTGGCAACAGGGAGGGAAGGCCGAGTGGAAAGGGGATTCTGAACCGGCTGCTGCCTGCACACACATGGACGCACACACATTGCAAGGAGGAGCAAAGGGGAACCTCTCAGCACCCAAACCCCACTTCCCCGGAAGGAGGCCCAGGGACCCGAGGACAGCCTGGAAGCCCTTCTTTGGGCCCCTTCTCTCAGTCCCCTGGACCTCACTCCCTGTGGACGGGGTGGGTCTCAGGCCTCTGGAGCCCCCTTCTTGTATGTGCTGTCAGAAATAGTCTCCCCCTGATTTCTAAGGCTCAAGGAAACTCGTGGGCTCACAGTAGGCAGGACAATGCCAGTTATTATTTACTGAACGCAAACCTCCCACGTAAAGGCGTGGCTGGGATTCAAGCCCAGGGCTGTCTGGTGGCGCTGGAGGCTGGGTTCTGAAGCACTGAATGGCGATCTCCCCAAACCATAGTGCTGAGGAAATTACCCTCTTTGAGGGCAGGGGTCTGGTATGTTCCACCACATCCTCCAACTATGTCTATGCAATCTTTTGTGACAACATCTCTGTTTCCCAAGACGGTAACTGACTAAGGAGGCCCAGGACCGAGGGCAGGCACCAGGTGACTAACCCTCCAGAAGGGCCAGCAGGGTGACCTTTCCCGGAGCCCCCGGCAGCATGTTTCCCGTACTTGTCCTCAGCTCAACTCCCACCTGAACGCAGAGGGATGCCCCAGAGGCCAGTGGGACATGAGGCAATTCAGCAGCAGGAAGAACAGAGGGCTTTTGGGACCAAAGAGCCCTGGATGTCACCTGATTGTTGTAAGGCAGCCCTGTAGGCAGATGGCCTTCCAGCCCCTGCTGCAACTCTTCTGGGAAGGAGGGCTTGCACTGCTTACGGTAGTGGCCTTTCAGGGCAGCAAGTCATGCTGAGCGGAGACGGGCTGCCTTGGGATGTCCACCCCCTGGCCCTCGCCCCTCCCACGCACCACAGACGCTGGCACAGAGGCTGCAGGCCCTGGGGCACCCACCTGCCGCCTTGTGAGCCGAGGGCTGACTGTAGTCCTGGTACTGAAAAGCGCAGCACTGCGGGGGGAACCTGCTCTTGGCGCTCTCCTCGGGGCTCATGGCGGACGGTGGCTGTGGTGGTGGCAGGTGTCTCAGAGGCTGACTCAGGCCCCTCATGGGATTGTGGGTGAACTCATCTGAAAGATCAGTGTTGGAGTGTGAGGGCAGTGCCAGCCCGAGGAGGGGAGAGACAGTGATGCCCCCAGCACCCTCCCTGCCTTCACAGAAGGTGCTCAGAGCCAGCCCCCGGGCCTCGAAGCCCAGGCTCCTGACGGTGTAGTTTGAGCCAGAGTGGAAAGGGGAAGCTGTGTGTGTGGAAGGAGGGATGGTAGGGCAGGTGGTGAGTGGAAGAACCGAGATGTGCCCCTGAGCCCCCAGCCCTTCCACCTGTAGACACCCCCACCCGACCCCAGGGGGGCCCGGCCTGCTGCTCACCACTGGGGATGTTGGCGCTCAGCCGCTTGTCAGGTATTGGAGGGCAGTTCCCGCAGCCCCTGAGACTCTTCATCCTTTTCCACATCAGATGTGAAGGGCTGCCTCCTGGAGGGTCCCCCTGGGGGTGAGAGGGGCAGATGTAGAGGGGAGAGGGCCAGAGAACCCGTCCTCAGACTGAGTCGGGGTGGGTGGCCTCAGAGCAGCTGTCTGAGAGGCCACTGCCCCACCCCGCCCTGCTGCCCCTGGCTGGCCACTGAGCCTCAGAGTGAGAGCGGCCTGCCAGCCGGGCCCTCTGCTCTCAGCCCCGATTCCCTGCCCAGCCTGACCCAAGGCAGCGCCAGTCAGGAGATGGCTCACCCCACTCATGTCCGGGAAGGCTTGCTCCTCATATTCCAGCTGTCGCTTCAGCTTCAGCTTGTTGGAGAGGGCTACCATGGCCGGGCTCATCGCATCTGGGCCCTGAGGCCTGAAGCCCTTTGCAGACCTGCCAAGCCCAAGAGAGTGGGCCGTGAGGGGGTCTGGAGCCCCACGCCATGCAGGGCCTTCAGAGGGCCCTTCCAGAACTAATACGTCTGACCCAAAGGGCAGAGGCTCAGAGGGAGGGTGTGGGCCTCAGGGCCCGAGCTACACTCCGCTGCCCTTCCCCAGTCTCCCCACCTGCCGAGATGCTAAAGGTTCAAGTCACATGTGCCGCCAGCCCAGCGGTACCCAGGCAGCCTCCAGGCCTGACCGCGGGTGCAGCGGCCCAGCTGGGTGGCATCAGTCTTTAGGAGGGTTTCTTCTGCCCCATCTCTCCCTGCCAAGCTGCTCCCCCTCGGACGAGTGAGGCTGCTCTCTCACGGGCACATGCCCCAGGGCAGTGTAACTAATGTGCCCTGGGAGCAGAGGTCATATGCCAACCATAGTGCTTCAGCCCCGGGAACTCCCAGCTGGTGGAATGGAGCTTGTTGGGGAGATTTGAAGGAGCCAGGAGGAGGAGGAAGAGGAGGACAGGGAAGGCAATACTGGACGTCCGAAAGGCATGGGCATCTTTTTCTTTTCTCAACCAGGGTTCCAGGAGGAAACAGAGAACCACTGCCCAGGTAACTTTTTGTGTTCTGTAATGAAGTCTAGGTAAGCAAGGTGCTTTAGGGTGCTCTGGGGAGAGAGACATGGGTATGCAAGGGGGGACAAGCTAGTTCTCTCCCTTTTCCTGTCCTCAGTCATCTTTTGGGCCCCTCCGCTCTGATAAAAACATTGCACTCGAGGCCTCCCAGACCTCGGGGTGACTCCTCTCAGCCTAAGCTCCTGGATCAGAGCAGGGCTCACTGGAGGACCAGCCACGGTGGAGCAGGGGTTGGTGATGGGGCAGGAAGTCTCTCTGAGCCCCAGATCACCCCCCAGTGGGTACCCCTCGGTCCCCTCCCTTTTCAGCACAGCCTTTGCTGAAGCAGCCAAAGGTCACTGCCACTCACCTCTTCTTGAACATGGAGAGCTGCGGGGAGGAGACAGGGGGCCCCGACGGCGATATCCCCAAAGCCTCCGCGTGCTGATCTCCTCCAGGCCACTTGGGGGGCCTGGAATGTAAGGGTGGATCAGGGGGCCACTGTGTGTTGAATATGCCCCCCAAAGAAGAGAGAGGGGTGCTGGCCTGGCCACAGCACGATGGCAGGGACACCTTGCTCCCGCCATCGAAGAAGATGGAGGACATGGGCTGGTGCTCGGGCTCCGTCTTCTTGCTCTCCAGCTGCTGCTGGTACTTGTCCAGGAGGAAGGGGCCGGGAGCGGGCACGGGGGCCAGCGGCTGGAAGATGCTGGTCATGGTGCTGACGCAGTGCTGTGGGAGGAACTGCGGGTTCTCGGGCGAGAGCTTCTCCTCGGAGCAGATGGGGCTCAGCTGGAAGTCCTCCCCATCCATGGGGATGTAGGGTGCCAGTGTCTCCAAGTCCAGCTCATTGAAATCCAGCTGAGGAGACACAGAGCATTTCTGTAATAAATGCTTTCCTGTAAAGTTACATGCAAATAAAAATTTGATTCTGGTATCATTTTTATTTTTATGTGTTAATCCTCGCCCAACGATATTTTTCCATTGATTTTTAGGGAGAGTGGAAGAGAGAAGGAAAGACAGAGAGAAACATCGATGTGAGAGAAACACATTGATTGGTTTCTTCCTGCACAAGCCCCGACGAGGGCCTGGGCCAGAGAGATACATGCTCTTGACCAGAATCGAACCCAGGACCCTTTGGTCCACAGGCCGACGCTCTATCCACTGAGCCAAATCAGCCAGGGCTCCGATATCATTTTTAAATGCATTTAAACTAAAATAGTATTTCAAAGACTCCTAACTTTGTGAAGGGAGTAAATGTTCCCGTTGCCTATAAATGTCTCATACATCTGGATGTACTTTTTAAATGTTGGGCTTCTCTGAAGAAACATTCGGTCTTAGTTTTGGTCTTTGTGTGCACTAAGGGAGCTCCCCCAGTGAGTAGGAGATAAACAAGGTGAGAGTTACAGGTAGAAGAGCTGGTTTGACACAGGTAAAGCAGAGGGCGAAGTGGGAGGAGGGACCTCCACAGGCTCCACTTCCCTGCACCCTCATCCCATTAGGGACCATGGTCCAGCATCTCCACTGGTCTCTGTCACAAAGGGGTGCAGCTGCAAGACCGGGCCTGAGCCTTCTCCACCGCCCGCTGGCAGGCACACCAGCCCAACTTCTCCGTGGCTGCCTACCTGGGTGCTGCACTGGTCCTTTGCCTCTGTATCCATGGCAAAAAGCTTCTCAATCACCTCCATCTTCAGATCGTCATTCAGAGACGTGTAATAGTCCTCAGGGCTGCCGGGCTGGGGGCCAGGAGGGAAGTGACTATGTCAAGAGTATGACACTGGTCTCCCCAACATCCAAGGTAGAAGGAGAAATACATTCTTAGGCCCACAGACCAACTCCGTCCCACCCAACAAGTACTTGTAGAGGGGCCACTGCCTGTAAGCTGTGTGAATTAGGTCCATTCATCAACCTCTCTGCACCTCAGTCACCTCATCAAATGAGCCTGTCCTGAGGAGCCAGTGGGATAAAGGCCATGGCCAGCAGGGTTCTGGAGACTACAGGTCTGTGCCCTGAGCAGGGACAGAGCTGGGGGCTCAAAACTGTGTGCCACTCAGCCCCTGCCTTCCGGGAACTTGTCATTTAGGTGGGGGCGGGGCTGGATACTGACAGCAAGCAAACAGCTGGAGTACCTGCAGGCATGTGTCACCACCTCTCTACAGGACTCTAGCACAACTTGAGTAGGAGGAGGGCAGTATTTCTGTCCAGACTGACCAGCCATATGGCAGTGGCCAGAGGAGGAGCCTGCCCTCTCCGTGACCTCACTCCAGGGGACTCACCGTGGAGCAGCTGCTGCTGGTGGCGCTGGGGCTGGTGTCCCCCGGGGCGGCCGCCTGGGGCATGGTGAAGGCGGGCAGGCTGGCCTCGCTCTGGGCAATGTGGCTCCTCAGTTCCTCAGCCCACGACTGGTTGGGGGCCAGTATGGTCTCGCCATAGGCTGATGACTCCTCGAAGCTCTGGTTCCCTGTGGAGACAAGCGTCTGGCTTGGTTAACAGGGATTCATCCGGTCCATGGAAAACCCCCGAGGACAGAGAAAAGCCCAAAGGATGCACGAGAAATCCCCACAGCTTCTGGAAGTCATGCCTGGGCTGGGCCCTCAGCCCTGGAAGCTTGACTGGGACAAAGGGGCCTTTAACTGGGGCTCCCGCTCAATGTACTGGCTCCCTTTCAAGGGGCCCCCCTCCTGGAGCACTTACTTGTCAGAGACTAAGTGAATTAGGAGCCGCTCTTCCTCGAAGAGCAGCCCAGCATGTAGATGAGAGGTTAGGAGAGGACAGAGGGCAGTCAGCCTCAGTGAACGGAGGCTGCGGCGAGCCTTCTCGTCCCAGACTGTCCTCTACGATCCTCTGTTGCTTCTCATGTGGCCTCTCGGGGACACAGCTAACAGGGCGAGCACAGGTGCTGCACCTATTCCTTCAGCAGCGCGGCCAGGCTGCGGGTCCCACATGGGGAGCAAGGGCCCCCGGGACACGTGAAGGTGCTTCCAGTGTGGATCGGGGAGGCCTGAAAACTCTCTCTGTGGCGACAAGGACTCAGTCCCTGTGAGACACGCACACGTTTTAAAGAAGTAGTGCCTACGGGGGCTAAATCTGGGCCTGAATCTTTTCTGGAATTATTTCTCCCAACATTATTTCAGTTCAGCCCTCTTCCCAAAAAGCAATTTGTCCCTCAAGGCCCAGGTGAAGCTCTGCCCTCGCTGTGAAATCATGCCAGTGACCTCCAAGCAGCTCTCTTGCTGTCACGGCAGGCTCCTGCCCCTGTGGTGGAGATGCGACTCCTCCAGGCAGTCCCCTGCAACCTGCCCTCCCCCCGCCCCCTCCCGCTGGGCACTTTGTGGTCTTACTCCGTGTCAAGTGCATGCATTGTTTTTTTTGCATCCAGTACAGACCAGTCTGACCACTAACAGATAATTAGCAAGACTCGGGGAAGGAACAGGGTGCCGCTGGTTAAGGAAAAGCTGTAGCCAGGGAGGCCTGTGACCGTAAAAACCTCCCCCGCTCAAGAGAGTTCGACGTCCCCCAGCTCAGTTGAGGGGCACCCACCGAAGTCCAGAGAAATGATGGCATCTCCCGCAGTGGGGGCCAGCTGGGCCAGCTCCTCCGGCTCCTCCTTCAGTTTGGTGAACAGGAAGTGACTCTTCTCGGACACAGCCACCTCATCGCTGTTCTCAAAGATGCTGTTCATGGCCATCAGGTGCGGCTTGAACAGGGATTCCGTCTGGTCCATGGAGAACACCACGTCATTCTTCTCAATCTCACTGAGGGGACGAGAGGGTGCGTCAGACCTGCCACGTTTCTAGCGAGATCCTTTTGTCCCGCAGACCCAGGGACACCCTGAGGGCTGAGCCTCTCAGCCAAATGCGTGGGTGTGGACACTGTGAAGAACCACACAGTGGAATTTGGAGGTGAGGCAGCAACATCGAGAGTGCCCTCAGACTGTGAGTCTGTCTTGGATCCTGCTTTACGGGCAGGCACTGCATGGTGTACCCGGGTTTGCAGATTTTTGTATGTTTCACTCCAGCAATGACTTGACCCAGCTCTCTTCCCAGGGGCTATAGGAGTGTTTTTCCACATTCACAAAATGCTTATCAAGGAAGGACTTTGTTCTGTCTGCCTCCCCACGTGGGTCAGAGGCATTGCACAGATGAGAGACTAGGGAAAGGGGAAGAGAAGCACTGGGAAGGAGAAGTCCCAAGTGACCCACTGTTTCCGCATCATCCATGGAAGCCCTCTGTGTCCTGAGGACCCGCACCGCAGAGAGCTCACAGAGAGCCTGCGGAGAGGAGAGGCTGGGCGTTCCGGGGCCTGCCATCCTCAGTGTGGGGAGCTCACAGCCCGTGCCCCACTGGCCCTCCCACACTCACCTCAGGACGTAGTTCACACACATGATGCACTGGGGCTGCAGGTTGCGTGGGTTGTAGATGACTGTCCCCTGCGTCTCCAGCCACACATAGCCCCCATGCTTCGCCAGCATCCGGTACTGGCCGCTCACCACCTGGCCCTTGGTACACACTACGGGAGGAGAAAGGGAACCTGAGGTTCGGGAGGTGGGGGGCTGAAGACTCCACGGGAGGGCAGTCTTTGGGGAAATGGACAGGACTAGGCACCAGACCATGAAGACTGGAGCTTAGAGATCATCGCACCCAACTCTTCGTGTTAAATATAGGGAGAGGAGGGCCAAAGGGCTTACATGACTTGCCCAAGGCTGTCCAAGGGAGGAAGTGGCCCATCGCCAGTTCCTTGACAAGTCTGCTCACCCATTGGCTCTGTCCTACTTTCCCCCAGGGCCCCAGGGGGAGCCTCTGTCAAGCTCTCCAGGTTGGGGGTGGGTGCTTGCAAGCAGTGTGGAGAAAGCTTGTCCTCAGGGTAGCCCTTTGGAGCAGACCCACTACCAATACGAAAGGCTTGTGAATAAATAGTTTTTAAACGATATGCTTGATTGTTCTAGGTCATCTGTCAGGCCTGCCACCATAGGGCCACAGAAGGTGTGTGACCCATAGCAAAGGCAGAGGTAAGGGCTTGCCCTCTGCACCCCCCGCCCCTCACCCGCCACACACACACAGCCTACACTCAGCCTCTTCAAAACCATGATAAGACCTTCCCACTCCTCTTTCCAGCTGCCCAGCGAGGCTGCATGCTTAAGACATCTTTCCAATTCCAGATCATTCTAAATGTTCATTTAACTTTTGTGCGTACGGTATAAAGACAGTAGGGAAGGGGTCCCACATCCCAGACTGTCTTCCTCCCCAGTCCAGAATGCTCTATCCGCTTCCATTAAAAAGGAATCAATAATTCCCTTTAAAAAAAAGTCCACTTAATGTTAGAATTTCTGGTGGTTTCCTGAACTGCCCAGTTACTTCTATTCCTTGGGAATTCATTCATCAGACACCACCCCCCCCCCCCCCCCCCCCCCGCCCCCCCT